GCAGTTAATATTAAGTCTTATAGGTACCCTTATAACCAAAAGAAAGAGATTGAGGAGATATTGAAATTAATGTTGAAAGAAGAAGAAATTGTTAGGTCCAACCAGAGCCCATTTTCATCTCTAGTCTTACTAATGCAAAATAAGGATGGTGGTTGGCGGCTCTATGTAAATTACAGGGCCTTGAACAATGATGGTGGTTGGCATCTCCCTATGCCAGTCATTGATGAGCTTATTGATGAACTCCATGAAGCTAAGGTATTCTCAAACCTGGACCTACAAGTTGGGTACCACCAGATTTGGATGAAGGAGAAGGACATTCCCAAAATGGCTTTCAGGACTCATGAAGGTCACTACGAGTTCTCGATGATGCCATTTAGACTATCCAATGCTCCCACCACCTTTCAATAACTCATGAACCAGATTTTCAAGGAGCAACTTCAGAGGTATGTTCTTGTATTTTTTTTATGACATACTAATATATAGTCCATCCAGAGAAGAGCATTTGCATCATTTGAGGCAGGTATTAACGTATTACACACAGACCAATTTCATGCAAAGATGAGCAAGTGTGGCTTCTTCCAAGATAAGATAGGGTATTTGGGATGTTATCTCTAATCAAGGAGTGGAAATGGATCCGACTAAGGTGGAAGGGATGTTGATTTGGCCTAGACCTACCACAATAAAGGCACTAAGATATTATAGGAAGTTTATCAGAAACTATGGAGCCATTGCAAGACCCCTCACTAGGCTGCTTAAAAGGGGGAATTGGAATGGGGAGAAGAAGCAGAAGCTGCATTTCAAGGACTGAAAAATGCATTGACGTCTACACCATTCCTAGCTATTCCAAATTTCAGCAAGACCTTCACAGTTGAAAGTGATGCCAGTGGACGAGGGATTGGTGTTGTCCTATCACAAGAAGGGAAGCCAATTGCATTTTTCAACAATCTTGCAAGGTCAAGCTCTTAACATGTCTACCTATGACAGAGAATTACTGGCTATAGTTTCAGTAGTCCAGCGATGGAGGCTATATTTGTTAGGTAATAAATTCAAGATTTTGACTCATTAGAGGAGAAACGGGTATATATTAAAATAGAAGATAAACACTCCAACTAAGCAAAGACAACTGAATAAACTTATGGGGTATGACTATGAGGTAACTTATAGAAAGAGGAAAGAAAACATAGTTGCAAATGCTTTGTCTAGGAAGGAAGATGAGGAAGTAGAGGTTATGGGTCTATCAGCCCCAATGCCTAATTGGACTATAGAACTCAAGGAGGAAGTAGCTACAGATTCTTATTTGCAGAAATTAATCTTAGAAATTGCGGAAGGAAGGGAGAATAGAGTAGCCTATTGATATCATAATGGATTAGTATGGAAGAAGGGTAGATTGGTGACGAGACCCACTTATTTTCGAAGGAAATTGTTTGATGAAGCCCATACTTGTCTAGTAGGAGGGCACTCCAAGTATGGCAATACTATTTAAAGATTGAGACAAATAAGTTATCTGCCAAAGAAACAAAACAAAAAATGTGCCCATGCTTGGGCTTTTATAGCCACTGGCAATTCCAGAACATGTTTGGGCTGATATCTCACTTGACTTCATAGGACTGTCGACTTCAAACAAGAAAATTGTGGTTTTGGTCGTGGTGGACAAATTAACTAAATATGGTCATTTCCTTCTTCTCAGTTATCCTTATATGGCACTAGAAGTTGCTCGATTCTTTATGGAACGAGTGTTTAAGCTGCATGGCATGCCTTGGACCATGGTTAATGACCGAAATCCCGCATTCACTAGAACCTTTTGGAGAGAATTCTACAGGTTTCACGGTACCCTAATCAACATGAGCTCTTCTTAGCACCCATAGTCTAATAGGCAAATTGAAGTGCTCAATCAGACCCTAGAGACCTATTTATAATGCTTTTGCAGCTCCCAACCTCACACATGGTGTCGCTAACTACCCTTAGCTAAGTGGTGGTATAACACCACTTACCATTCAGCCACTAAGACAACACCGTTCCAAGCATTGTATGGTTACACCCCCCCCCCCCAACTTTATTTCCCTACATTCTTGGTACCACCCAAGTTCAATCTGTTGAACAAGAATTGAAAGACAGAAAATTTGTCCTCAAAGTTCTTAAAGAAAACTTGACTCATGCTCAAGATAGAATGAAGCGTATAGCAGATAAATGGCAAACTGAAAGATCATTTGAAGTTGGGAATTGGGTGCTCTTAAGGTTACAACTTTACAGACAAACTTCCTTAACTGTAAGACAGATAAAGGGCACACTGAAAGATCATTTGAAGTTGGGGATTGAGTGTTCTTAAGGTTACAACCTTACAGAAAAACCTCCTTAACTATAAGGCTCTCAAAAACTTTCAGCCCAACATTTTGGTCCTTTCAAGGTGATTGGAAGAATTGGCTAAGTAGCCTATAAATTAGAATTGCCACAAGGGTGCAAACTTCATCTTGTGTTCCACTTTCATACTTGAAATCCAAATTGGGAGCTAATATGATCAACAACTCACTCTCCCTTCCTTAATAGCAAAAGGAACTCTTAAACCTTACCCAGAAGCAACATTTGGGTGTTGCATGGTTCGATGTGAAAACAAGGCTGTAACAAAACTCTTGATTAAATGGGAAGGTACTACTGACATGGATGCTACTTGGGAACATCTGAATTCATTTTGCAAATGTTATCCTAGAGCTTGCCTTGAGAACAAGGCTAACCCCAAAGAGGGAGGAATGATACAACTCAGTTTTATTGATAGAAACGTGGCAGCCGATCATGAAGACTTTGCCATAGTTCGTTCCTACTGACAAACCGTTATCCATATCACACCAAATCGTAGGACCGTTAGCCTTAGAATATTCTTCATTGATTGGAATCATTTGGCCATCGGAGGCTGTTGTAACTATGATTATAAATAATCATTCATAGCGTGAATAGGTGCTGAGCTTTATCTGAATTCAATCCCCTGTTTTCCCCCTTCTACCTTTGTGGTTGTGCTAACAGACACAATTCCGCAAGGTAAATCTAAATACTCTTCTCGTCTTCGAGAAGATTCTGATATCAAGTTTCCATTATGTGACCCATGCATCCACAAGACTCACAAAAACAAGGAAGTCTTTCGTAACGAGAAAAAACATCAATAGTCTTTTGTAACAAAAACAAGTCTTAGGTGGTGTTTGGAAGTGTGTAAATATCGTTGACGGGACCGTTTTGGCCCTACTCATGATAAGATATGGTGCTTTTCTATGTGTGGACGGTTCTCGTTCACAAAATAGTGTGGGCAGGGACGATCCACACCCCAATTTATTGTCCACAATATTTTCTCGTGGATAATCCACACTATGGTGTGGACAATTTGTGGGAAGGTTTCAATGTAACACACCTACATTACATTGGTCCAATTACTCTCATTTTATTTAATCTTTTAATAATTTTTTAATTTTAATTTTTAATATTTTATCAATAAAATAATAATTTTTAATGTTAATTTTAGCATAAACTTAACAGTTCTCCTTCTCAACTCTTTTTTTATTATTTAAATAATAATTTTTTAATATTTTTTATCAATAAAATAATATTTAAAATATTATTTTTATTTTTTATATTTAAAATAATATTTTTTAATTATTTAACAAATAAAATTATTATCTACATATTGATACCTTTTTTTTCAATTTATTTACCATATAAAATACAACAATTAGACATTTATGATCAACTATGTAGATCTCCCATAAAATGTATATGAGATACGTGGAATCAAAAAGTGTGGTGTGAACCACACCTACAGAATGCCACCGTGGGTGTAAACTAGTCTAGTCCACACAATCTATCCACAGTTCATAATAACTGTGGACTGTGGTGTGGTGTGGACTGCCACAAGGTGTGGTGCGGACCAATCACACCCACCAATTTATCATACACACTATAGAACACCCCTTATTGTTCACAAAAGCTTGTAGACATTCATATTCACCTTCAACTGAGCAAACTTCGATAATTTCTCCACCTCCGGTCTATCTGATTGGTGAGGCATGCCTAGTATCTCCATGATCGTCAATCCTGCCAACGAACTTAAATACTCACCCGGGAGCCCATAGATCCTCACCCCCATTGTTACTGTGTGTCAAGGTGATGAATAGAAACTTGGTGGGGGAAAGGGGATATCTGTGGGAAGAAACAAGGGTTGAAGAGAGTGAACGGGAGCCTAGTCGGAAAACTCGCACAAGGATAGCAACATAGGACTGTCTTAATGGGATCAATCATCAGTGCAAATGCTAGGACCACAAGCCATGTTCTCACAAAGTCGTTAAATCAGAAAGGACAAAACAAAAGCAGGGTTTTTTTCTCTTTTTTTTTTATAAAAATATAAAATACATGGAGACATGGGGTTTTGGGATGCTGTCTTTACAATGGTTTGTTGGTGGAAGAGACTTTTGAGGTAGTTGTGTCGTGTGCTGGATTGAGCAAAGCGGTGGGTTCAGAGATCAACCAATTTAGACGATGGATGCCTTGGCACCACAGGGAGTGACTGCGAGTAAACTTTTGTTGGGAAATCTTCCCAAGGCGGAAACCTGTAATCAGTACCACACCAGATTCTAGCTCGGTCTTTTGGGTGCTTAGCACACTCACATTCGTACATTCTTTTGTCTAAACATTAATAAAATTTGATTACTGATGGAGGGGAAAAAACTAACTCGTGAGCCAATAATTTCCACATAATTCATTTGAGTCAACATTTTTCTGTTGAGAACTTACACTTCTTGAGTGAAAGCCGAGTAAAATGTAAAACCGCAGAACTTTTCATTTTTACTTAAAGATCTATTAGAGCAACCAATCAGACAACTGTGAGAGGAAAAGATGACACATGCTTCTAAGTCATTTGCTTACTCGTGTTGAAACTTATGAGAATGAGATAAATTCATGGTATCTTACTAAATGAGTTGCAAAAATTGAAAAAAAAAAAAAGAAATAGCTTTAACATCAAATAATATAAAAAAAAACTATATTTATGTGTAAACTATGCATGCCTTGGGCAGTTCTTTCTACAATTGTTATTTAAAAGAAAAGAGGAAAAATAGTACAGAAAATAATTAACTAACCCCTTCCTGCAGCATGACTTCCCAATATATTGTGGGAACAAACGCAACTTCTCTTCCAAGAACTATTATACCAAAATTTAATTATGATTTCGTGAGTTAATTCAATCATTCAAATTCGATGCCAACAAATCTGCAGTCTTGAAGAACCTTTGTCCAAGCACTTTTCTCATCTGATTCCACTTGTATATGGGTCGTGTCGATGATCGTTCTGCATGGTACTAGAATATCATCATTAACCACAAGAGAGCAGCTCTCATATAAACCATCCTTTGGTGGTAGGTTCAACAAACAAGACCGGAGGGCTGTAATCCGTTTACCCCTGATGACAAATCCTTCTTGGTCTGTCACCTGCAACATGAGACGGTGTTTGCGCCCCAAAAGGTCGGAAACATATTTCATATTGCCTTCAGCAAGAGCAAGGCGAACACGAGTTGATGATACTTGTCCTTTGTCATTCGAATCAATGGAGCCTTTATTTGTGAAGCACTGATTCTTGTCCATAACAGAACTCACAATGTAAGCTCTCATTCCATACTCTTCACAAAGCCTTACCAACTCAGATGCATCACCTGCGGCTTTATATCCAAATCTGTAATTTTCACCTGTCGAGAAAGCCCACTACCTTTCTATCATACAAATAAATGAAACAGACAAATAAGGAACTTCAAAGGGAAAGGGGTCTGCAGCTTGACTAGATTATACCTGCAACAACCCCACGTACTCCAAACTCCTTCGCTAGCTTTTCAACAAACTGGCGCGGAGTGAGATGCCGAACAGTTGAAAACTCAACATACAACTCAGCCGGGGCTACATTACCACAATGTGGGGCCCAAGTTGAAAGAACCCGCTTACGGTCACATTTAGCAACTATAGGAGCCCTGTGTTGGAGAAATTGACCACAAAAATTACCATACAAAAATCCAACAGTTTCACCTTTTGTGTGGACAAGGCAGGGGAAGGGAAAAAGTGCAGTAGGCAGTCCATGTACTACCATACTATGGTAGACTAGAATAGATAATTTCATATACAATGGGAGCATTTATACCAAAGGAAACATTCAATTTCTAATGGTTCTTACCTTTAAGGTTTCAACACTGATCATCAATGGCAAAATAAATAAAATGAGCTATAAACAGAACCATCTTTTAACATTCAAAAAACTTTGATGCCAAATATAGGAAAAAATATCTTTAAACATGGTGTTTATCATTAAAGAAACTGGTTTTATATCTAACAGATGCATAAATTAATTTTAACAGGACAGGCTCCCAATTAAAGTAAAACCAGAACACCAAGGGTTAGTAGTGCTGTAGAATCTTCTCAAACCCAGAAACTATAGGAGTTTTGGACAAAGTGGTCCCCCCCCAAAGGTGGAAATGTGAAACCCTTAAATAATAGATGGCTCTTGAAAGTAACACCTGCAATAACATCACAAGTCTAGAATTTTAAATGGAAAATTCCTGTCGCAAGCATAAAGGAGCAAGAGAATGAAAACCATATTTTCCTTCAATATGGGGTGGCAAGTGACTTTAGCAGTTTCTTTTCGTCCTTACTTTGGATGGAAAGACCTAAACAGTTCAAGGACGTCTTGAGATAATTCCTAAGATTCCTAATTTTGGCATTAGGAGTAAATCCTACGGGAGAAATTCCATCGTTTGTTTTATGGGTAATCTTGCAAGAGAGGGGATGAAGAATCTTTGTATCTGTTGAGTTGGGCCGATTTCTAGTTATTGGGCCTAGTTATTTATCTTTATTTTTAAATTGTTAAGTTAGGAAGTTATTGGGCTTTAGGCCCATTAGTTCATGTTTTTTAAGTTGTGACTGTTCAGCTACTTAAGTAGTCGCCCTACTAAGGGCATTCTTGTAATCTCTTATTCTTTTAATTTGAGTATATAATACAAAGAGGGGTGGCGGCCAGAACTAATTCGATTATGGTTGACATCCCACTCCTTTTCTTCTCCTCTCTTCTCTCTACTGCTGAAACTCTTCATCTTCTTCTTTCTCTTCACAAGGAATTCATCTAAAACTGCAATCAGTGATTTCTACTTGGTATCAGAGCGGGCCGAAGGTTCCTTGAGCTGTTCTATCATGCATCCCTAGATCAACTGATTGCATGGTGATTTGAGAGGCTGATCGAAGATCTCAAGTAAGCCTAGTTTTTGGATTTTTTGGTGGACCTGTTTTGCCCTGTAGCTGGTCTAGGGTTTCCCATCAAATTCAGGAAAAACTAGAGAAAGAGGGAGAGTCATGTTTCTGTTGGACTCTTCAATTTTGACCGAGGAAGTGGCGCCCTAATTTTTTAGGGTTCCTTGGAGTTTTTTGAAGGGGTCGGTTTAAGTGGCGCCCTAATTTTCTCTTGTCTCGCAGAAAATGAATCTTTTGTGGAAGGATCATCTAGGGCACCAAAAGGGTGTCGGTGGTACCAGAAGTGATTTATTTGATATTCTTTCATCTTACAGTAACCTTCTAACCCCTTTTTGAGAATTATGGAGGCTAACGGAGTTGAAAACAAACCCGGAAGTGAAATGGGACCAGTGAGAGGAGGTGTCGGAGCACTTTTCAGGGTTGGGACCATTACTACAGTTAAGTTGGATGGTTCAAATTACTTAGAATGGTCACAATCTACAAAGATGGCCAATGGTGCTCGTAGGAAGTTAGGGTATATCACTAGTGAGGAAGTGAAACCCGAAACTAACAACTTCCGATGGGTACAGGGAAAGTATATGGTGATGACTTGGCTGTGTAATTCGATGCTGCCCCATATAAGTAAGAATTTTTTGTGGGCAAATACAGCTAAGGAAATATGGGATGGGGTTGCAGAAACCTACTCACATAGTGAGAATGTTGCTAGGACCTATCAGTTGAGAAATCAGATTATTGCTACAAGGCAGGGAGATAGACCTATTGCTATTTACTTTTCAGCCCTTAAAACCTATGGCAGGAGATTGACCATCTGGAGACAGTTGTTTGGGAAACCACTAAGGATGCAGCTGCCTACCAGAAGCTCCTAGAGAAGTATAGGGTTTTTGAATTTCTTGTTGGCCTTAATCCCAAGTATGATATTGCAACACAACATATTCTTTCCAGGGACAGTGTTACTCTCTCCTAGGCACATGCCTTTGTATCAGGGGAAGAGAGCAGGAGAAAAGTGATGATGAAAAATTCTGGTTTTGATCAATCAGCCATGGTTAGCACTGTGAAACCTAAACAAGGTGGAGACCGGGGTGGCAGTGAAATCAGGAAGGAAGACAAAAAGGATTTGATTTGTGACTACTGTAAGAAGCCTAAACACACAAGAGATACCTGTTGGAAGCTTCATCCTCATCTTGTGCCGAATAGACTCAAAAACAAGAAGGGAAATGCTCACATGGCAGTCACTGGTGACATACCAGCCCCTCCTACTACAGCTACTCTGGAATCTGTTGCAGTTGTTGCAGTGAGGGCTGAATTTGAGAGATATGGGCAGTTCTTGAATCAGTGGGATACAGTCAATCCTAATTCAGTAATAGGTGGGCAGCTAGGTATAGGTGGTTCTGGTGGAGCACACTCTACTTCCTTTGCTCACACAGGTAGTTCATATGCCATTGCAAATTATGCTTCTACTACAGGTAAGGAGGGACCTCCTTGGATTATAGATTCTGGAGCCTCAGAGCACATGACCCATAGTTCCACTATTTTTTCTTCTTACCAGCTCTGTTCTGGCAGAGACAGAGTCTCCACAGCTGATGGATCTCATGTTCCCATTACTGGGAAGGGGTCTATCAAGATTAATGATTCCATTTCCCTTCCCTCTTTCCTTCATGTTCCCATACTGAATACTAACCCGTTATCTATTAGTAGTTTCACTAAGAACCTGAATTGCTCAGTAATTTTTTCTCCTGGTCATTGTGTCTTGCAGGATCTGGATTCAAAGAGGACAATTGGGAGTGGTCGTGAAGTGAATGGAATCTACCTCCTGGATGTGCTTCCTCATCATCAGGGTCATCAAGTCAGTAGGGATAGTGAGTCGGGGTCTGTGAGTTAGATTATGCTTTTGGCATAATCGTTTGGGTCATTTGTCTTTTTCTTCTTTGAGTTTCTTATTTCCAAAGCTTTTTGAGTCTGTTAATTTGTCCAGTCTAGAGTGTGAAGGTTGCCAACTTGGAAAACATTGTAGATATTCCTTTAAAGCTAGTAATAAAAGATGTTCATCTCCTTTTGATGTTATTCATTCTGATGCGTGGGGACCATATCATGTTCCTTTTATGGGTGGCTATCGATATTTTCTCTTATTTGTGGATGATTTTTCTCGATATTCTTGGATTTACTTCATGAAATCTTGAGATGAGGTACCATCCTTGGTTCGGCAATTTCATCAGACGGTGCTAACACAGTTTGGGATACGAATTAAGGTGTTCAGATCAAACAATGCCAGGGAATATTTTGAAAAGCATCTTGCTTCGTATCTGTTAGAATATGGTGTTTCCATCAGAGCAGTTGTTCCTACAATTCACAGGAGAATGGTGTTGCAGAGAGGAAGAACAAACACATTGGTGAGATTGCAAGAAGCATGATGATCACAGCTACTATTCCAATTCGGTTTTGAGGTGATGCAGTTCTCATAGTAGTCTTTTTGATTAATAGGGTGCCCTCTCGTATACTTGGATTCGGCACACCATTCAGTCTCCTTTTTCTTGAGGGGGAGATGTTCCATATTCCTCTCAGGATATTTGGGTGTGCTTGCTTTGCACATATTCTTGGTCCTCACTGCTTGAAGCTTAATCCGAAGGCAAAGAAGTGTGTTTTCCTTGGATATGTAGAAAATCAGAAAGGGTACTGCTGCTATGGTCCAGTCTCTGGGAGTCGGTATGTTACTATGAATGTCACCTTTTTTGAGTCAACATCCTTCTTCTCGAAGAATCCTTCTCAGGGGGAATGTTTTGGGGAAGTGAGTGAATAGTCTATTCCTCTTCCAGTTCCAATTCCTGTGTCCACTCCTATGTTTGATCCTCCTATGTCACCTAGCTTACCACCTCCTTTGTGTCCTGCTTCTCAGTATTACTCACGACAGAAACTTCACAGGGAGGTTGGTTCCACTGCAGAAGAACAACTCACATCACTTCCTATCAGTTCCTTGGAGACTCTAGATTCTGCTGACACGAATTCAGGTATTCCTCTTGGTCCCTCTACTGTTTTAGTTCCCATTGATTCTACTAATCCCATTACAGATAACCTAGACCTTCCTATTGTTCTCAAAAAAGGGAAGAGAAAGTGTACTACTCATTATATTTCATAGTATCAATCCTACAGTGGACTTTCTCCTTCCTACCGTGCTTTCCTTTTCTCTCTTGACTCTGTGTCTATACCCAAGGGTGTAAGTGAGGCTCTCTCCAAACCTGAGTGGAAGACATTCATGTAGGAAGAGATGGAAGCCTTAATTAAGAATCAAACATGGGAGATTGTGGATCTACCAGAGGGCAAGGAGACTGTTGGATGCAGATAGGTTTACATAGTCAAATATAAGGTAGATGGAAGTATAGAAAGGTATAAGGCCAATCTTGTTGCAAAAGGGTACACACAAACCTATGGCATTGATTACTTAGAGACCTTTGCACCAGTTGCAAAGATGACTTCTGTTCGGATACTTCTTTCTCTTGCTGCCACATACTCTTGGCCCCTCTTTCAACTTGATGTAAAAAATGCTTTTCTAAATGGAAATCTGCAAGAGGAAGTGTATATGGATCTTCCTGCTAGTTTCTACAGTGGTTCTGAAAAGGGGAAGGTATGCAGACTTAAGAAGTCACTTTATAGTTTAAAGCAGTCTCCCAGAGCATGATTTGACGGGTTCAGGAAGGCCTTGGTTGCTTTTGGCTACACTCAAACTCAATCTGACCATACCTTGTTTGTGAAGCGGAGGGGATCCTTGGTGTCAATCCTAATTGTTTATGTGGATGATATTGTTGTCACAGGAAATGACCTAAGTGAGATTGACAGTTTGAAGAATAATCTACACAGGGAATTTGAGATTAAGGATCTTGGAGAGCTTAGGTACTTCTTGGGCATTGAAGTTGCAAGATCAAAACATGGACTATTTATTTCTCAAATGAAGTATGTTTTGGATCTTCTACAAGAAACAGGGAAGCTCGGAACAAAGGCAGTCGGTACTCTTATTGATCAGAATCACAGAATTAATGCATCAGAAGGTGAGCTGGTAAAGGACATTGGGAGATATCAAAGACTTGTGGGGCGGTTGTTGTATTTGTGTATGACAAGACCAAACATCTCCTATGCAGTGAGTGTGGTGAGTCAATACATGCATGCCCCACGAATCCAGCATTGGGAGGCTGTTAACAAGATTCTTGCTTATCTAAAGGGACACCCAGGCAGAGGCATACTATTGCTGATCATGGACAATTGAAGCTAAAGGCTTATATAGATGCTGATTGGCAGGATGCCTTGATGACAGGAGATCTATTTCAGGAGTTTGCACCCTTGTTGAGGGTAACCTAGTCTCATAAAAAAGTAAGAAACAAACAGTGGTGGCAAGATCAAGTGCAAAAGCTGAATACAGGGCCATAGCACATGGAGTTTCAGAACTTCTCTGGATCCGTTCCCTATTAGAAGAAATTGGTGTACAGGCAGAAGAACCTATAATGTTGTACTGTGATAATCAGGCAGCAATTAACATTGCCCATAACCCAGT